AACTACCGTTACTCCTCGTGGAATGAGGAGTAACGGTAGTTCGAACTAGGAAGCCTAGTTCGAACTACCTAGTTCATGCCGCGTGTAGCCACGTGGCACGGGGTTCGAACGAGCGGGGATTTAAAAATGGCGGCACCCCTCTTATGCAAATGAAGCCCGGGAAATTCAAATCCCGGGCTTCATTTGCAAGTGCGGTATGCCTACATTACCCCGCTAGTTCGAACTAGCGGGGTAGTGTAGACATACCCAGAGAGTCTACACAGCACCCTAAACTCAAAATAAGATTTGTGTAGTGCAAATTGCGTATCTTATTTTGAACCTATTTCAAAATAGTTTATTTTGAAATTTGGCGCATCTACACAGTGCCAAATTTTGAAATAACATGTTATTTTGAGACATTCCTTTAACCCTTGTGGAATGAGGGTTACTAGGACACTGAAATAGCACTCCCGTTATTTTGAAACAATGGGCAGCTTGTGTAGATGCAGGGGAGCTATTTTGGGATACCTCCAGCCCAAATGATGAAGTTATCAGACTGTTTTCAGTTGCTTGTAAGGGATGTTGGGTCATCTTAATTCTAGGCAGTGCTAAGAGCCCTGACTGTAATAAGAATTTGCTATTGATGCTCTGTTATTTAAGTACTACGCTCATAAATGACCTGTTGCTCAACCATATGTTCCTTTTCTTATGTGCTCTTATGTGGAAAAGTTTTTTTAAGCCTGACAAAGAGTTCAACTCCTTCATTACTCCATCAACTATCACACTGTATCCTTTTTCTGTGCAATAAGAGAAATAGGAATGTTCACTCTACACAAATTCAAACCAGTTGAATTCTGGATTTGTACAGGTTCAGTTTAGTATTAATTTTTAATAAATAATCACTAGTTAGGCAATAACTCATTTGTCTATAGTTGTACTGCTAAATAAGATATAAAAGAGTTTTTTCACCTCTTTTACAGATGACTGGTGCATTATGGCCCTTAAATTCCACAATGTATCATATCCAGACTGCTGAGGCAAAAACGTATGCTGGGACATTAGCATCTCAAATTCTGATTGGATTACATCAGCCTACTCCACTAATGAAAGTTTCTTCTTTGTTGAAAGGCATTGTGAAGAATGTGTATGAAGTTATCAGCATAGATGTGCAAGGTTGTTATTTAATATGGTTCGGTCTTTTGGGGCAGCTTTTTAAGAGTAGCTCAGAATTTTATCCCCATAACTCTCCATTGACTCTGTAGGAAATATAACGTGAAACTTTTATAAATATGCATGGGACTACTCTGCCCATGGGATGCAAGCTCCCATCCCAATCCCCACTACCCATGTATCTAAGATACCCACTGTACGGCAAATGACATTTCTAACGAATAGTTATTTGGAAATTTTGCATTTTGGTAGAGGATTCTCCTGGTCACTCAAGAAGAAATGCACTTTCATAATGTATAGCTTTAGACTTAAAAGAAATATGTATGTCCGAATCTGTAGTATAGTCATAAGCATTTTAAATAGGTGATAGTATTACTGAAAACTTCCATGGTGCACTTCAAAACCAAGAATACTTTTTATTTTGGAGACTTTTTGCAAGTGTTACTGCAGATATCTTGGATGATCAAATGAGAATGATTTGTCTAGATATTTGGAGATATGATTTGTCTAGATATATACACATTGTTGTGGTATATGAACCCCTATATTTGGGCCACTCTCTGAAGGTGTGTCTACACAGCAGGGCTTACCTTGAAATAGGCTACGGAAATTGAGCTACATCATTTACATGGCTTATTTCAAAATAGTTTATTTTTAAATTGGGAGCGTCTACAAAGCAGTTATTTCAAAACAGAGCACTCTTCCTCTGACTTCCTTTACTCCTCGTACAAGGAGGGTTAGTGGAGTCAGAGTAAGAAGTCCTCAAGCTTGACAGTATTTCGCCATTATTTCAAAATATCTTCCTGCTATTAGATGCGGACTACGCTACTTCAAAATAACACTAGTTATTTTGAAATACTGTTGCTATATAGATGGACCCGTAGACTGTATCACAAGGGAGAGCAATAAGCCCACGGGCCAGACACAGTTAACCAGGGTTAGCCCCGGTGGACTGCCAGACATTTTATGGGTATGTTTAGACTAAATGGCTCCGTCGACGGAACCATGTAGATGAGGTTTCATAGGGAAATGAAGCGGAGATTTAAATAATTGCTGCTTCATTTACATCAAAATGGCTGCCGTGCTGTGCTGATCAGCTGTTTGGCAGCACAGCGCGGTAGTCTGGACGCTCCACAGTCAACAAGGGAAGCCCTGGTCGACTGCCTTGTCGACCGCAGAGCATCCAGACTACCGCGCTGTGCCGCCAAACAGCTGATCGGCACAGCACGGCAGCTATTTTGATGTAAATGAAGTGGCGATTATTTAAATCGCTGCTTCATTTTCCTTTTTCGAGTACACTAATGTACATGGCTCCATCAACGGAGCCATGTAGTTTAGACGTACCCTTGTTCACAAGTATAGCCACTTACAGCTCCCGTCAGTCACAGTTTCCTGTTCCTGGCCAGTGAGAGCTGCAGGAAATGGTGGCCTGGCCTGCGCTACTTCCTGCAGCTCCCATTGGCAGGGAATGGAAAACCACAGTGAATGGGAGCTATGAGTGGCTGTACCTGCAGATGCGCAGATAAAGTATCTGGCAGCCCACCGGGGGCTAACCCTGGTGAACTGCACCTGGCCTGCTGGCCATGTATTGCCCACCCTTGCTCTAGCTATCAAAACTTTGCTATTTAAGTATCAGAAGATTTAAAGCTACAACAAAAATACAGTATGAACCACTACTTGGCCTAAAAATGAGATCTGAAGAATGATGCTTTAAAGACTCAATCCAACTCCCTCTGTAGTCACTAGAAAAACTTGGATTGACTTCAGTGATTCTGGTTCATGCTCTAGACTAGTAAGAAAGTAAAAATAATTTTGGAAATCATATCTTAAAAATAAATTATGGGAAAATTATAATTGGATCAAATCTAGTGCCAGGTAGGTGATAACATTGCAGCCCCAAATGGCATTCCCCTCTGTGGCTGAAATGCAGGGCCTGGGAGAGGTAACAATAAAAATACGATTTTTCTTTCAAGGCAACAAGCTGGAAGGGGTCAGTGTAGCAAGGACTTCATAGAGTGGGTAGTTGTGGGATGGACCTTGATGGTGAAGAGACAGAACAGAGAAGCAGCACGGAGGAAACTAGTATTCTTGGTTTTTTTTTTTTTTTTTTTTTTTTTTTTTTTTTTTTTTTTTTTTTTGCATTTCCTTTAAAAATGCATGTAACTGACAGTGGGCAGATCACAGTCAATGAAAAACTTCTAAAGTCAAACTTCTTTCCATAATTTACAGATACAATTGCTTGCTTGTGGGATTAGCTTTGACAATAGCAATTCCTTTTTTCTACTGTAGGTGCTTTGAAATTGCTTGCTGGTCAGATTTTGATCTCAGTTGTGTTGGGGCAAATCCAGAATAACTCCTGTGGAGTTGCTCCTGCTTTAACCTGCTGTAATTGTGCTCCTGGTCTAGCCTTACCCTGTGCTGCTGTCAAGATACTTGTAAAGTTTTTGTCTTAACTTGTGTTGCTCTCCTTAGATGTAAATGAATGTTCCCATGCTGAACTCAATGCCTGTTCCAGATCAGAGCTTTGCATAAATTTAGAAGGCTATTATAAGTGCATCTGGGAACATGAATACATGGACGGGAATTCTAGCCAGCTACAGAAAGAATGTAAAGGTAGGAAGCATGGGCCTGATTCTCAGAAGTCTAAAGAATGTTCTGATCTACTTTAAAGGGCTCTGTGCCATCAAAGGAGTTCTGGAGCCCGCTGTGCTCTCTCTCCTTTGTGGTGGGGAGCAGAAGATGGCACAGGAGCTGCCTGTTAACTATTTCACTGCTGATGGTTTTAATACCAAACCATTTCCCATAACTAGACAATTGCCCAAATTGTTCCATCTGCTAAGGTCTCTAGCTTTAACCTGAGATAACTTCTTTGATTCAGTCATACATTATTAGTACATATCCTCAGGTTCCTGTGAAAATACAAATATGTGTAAATGCATTGTGCATACTAAAAGTCCACTTGTAATTTCAACTGCCTTCAGTATTTGGTATGGTCCTAAACCTTTTTGCAGTGTTAACCGTAAACTGTTAAACTGTTGCTAGGTTCCATGTCAGACATAGTGGCAATTCAGTGATGGGTAAAATTATTCCTTATGGCACAATTCAGAAAAGCATTTAAACATGTTTAGATGCCACTGACATCAGTGGAACTAGTCATGTGCTTAAAGATAAACATATCACTTAGTGTTCTTAGGATCAGCACCTTAGCAAATGGAGTGGTTCCAGTTCCTATTTATATTACTTACATTGCATTAGTTTAATCTTGTCAGCTTTTGCAAGTGTGGATGATGTTTAATTTGGATTTGTTTTGCTAGTAATGTCTAATTGCATAATAGTGCCCTTCCTTAATATGACTCTGACTCTACTCCAAGTTCATTCTATGATCCAGATAGAACTAGAGATTGTTCTGTTGATTTACTTATAGAAACAGATAACAAATCCACTGATTCAGAATGCCAGAAATAACCTTGGATATTAATTTATATTTCTTGATTTTAAGTTCATCACCAATCCCCTCTGTCCTGAAGGCTGTTGGAGTTACAATGTCTGTAGTGCCATCTGAGGGATAATCTTAAGAATGGCCTCCAATAGATTAGCATTTTTATTATCCAGTTTAATTCTTTCACTTGAGCAGTATCAGCCTTATTAAAAATCTTCCCCTCTCTTTCTATACACAGGGGAGAGTTTTAAGAGGTGACCTTTTGTCTAGTTTGTTGAGACTCTCAGTTATTATGACTTTCACCCTCGTATTTGTCCTCCACTTGCAATTGAACATGAAATGATAGACATGAAATCAGTCTTTTTAGAGAAATAGGCATTAAGTCTTTGGCCTCAAGGATTTGTAAATATATCTATCTACTAGGCCACTGGCTTGAATGATAGGGAACAAGTCCTTTCCATTGAAACAGTTAACCACATTATTTGGTTAAAAAAACAAACCTTTGATTCCCTTTTTCTTAGTAAGTTTTATCAGTACAAAAAGAACTGAAATTATGACCGACTGATGTCACAGTATTCTGTTCTGCATGAAAACTGGGATCCAAGCTCTGCTCTCGTTTACACTGCCCTGATGGGTAGCATTTGTAGAGTCCTGCAAATCCATGGATATCTGCTTTATATTTACAGGTATTCGCATCTGTGGATGCGGATATCCACTACTCATTTTTTGCAGATACAGATGCAAATGTGGATACCAATCCACATTTCTAGAACCCTGCAAATCTGTGGATATCCGCTTTGTATCCATGGGTCATTTTTGCAGATGTGGATACTAATTTTATATCCATGCAGGGATTTAAGCATTTGGCTGAGGAAGTACATTGGATAAATAAATAAATAAAGACTATATACATATAGGGAAATAGAGGGTTAGGTGTAATATCTTTTATATGTCAGTCAAACAAGTGTCTTACTGGATAAGTATCTATTTAATCAGTCACAAATCCTGAGGCAGAAAAGGAAAACAAATTGTAAACGTATAAAAGCTTCAGGGGGTAGCCAAGTTAGTCAGTACAGAAAACAAACAAACAAAAACAAATGGTCTGATAGCACTTTATAGACTAACAAAACATGTAGATGGTATCATGAGCTTTCATGATACCATCTACATGTTTTGTTAGTCTATAAAGTGCTATCATACCATTTGTTGTAAATGTATATTTAATGGTTCCAGTTGGAGCTATTTGTGGATTAGGATACTACTAAAAATGAAAGAATCTGGCCATTTATTCTGAGATGAGCAATTTCACTCTGTTGATCAAAATAGTTTAGATATGTAATGGATGTGGAGTACATTGTTGCTTAGAAAAAACATTCCTTTTACTTTGATGATAATCTCCTCTGCTATCATAGATCTGTCTGCAATTAGAGACCACCGAATCGTCAACGTTACCAGCAGCAGTTTTGAAGTATCTTGGAGTGTAAATTCTACTTTGAACCATACATTTCAAGTACAAGTGTACAAGGGTCAAGAGTTGCTTGCAAGTATGGAGACTACAGAAATGGAAATGGATATATCTGAGCTGGAAGCAGGTATAAAATACACAGTGAAGATCAGCTATGAAGCTTGTGGAAAGAACATTATCTCCTATAAAAATGTCAAAACTGGTAAATATCACCTTAGAAATGTTGCATTTTTTGCCATATCTGTATCCTATAATGATTTCCCATGATGCTTTCAAGACTTTACCTGAAGTTTTCTTCCACTCACACATGCACTTTTCCCCTTTTCTCAATGCTAGTGTAACTCACGCTATTTTTTAGCTGGGAAGGTTTGGTGACGAAAGTGCTGTCAACATGCAGAAGTTGCCAAAAGTAAAAACTGTTCAGACTAGTTTTTCCGCCTCCCATTGTTGACATTTCCCGGCCACATTGCTAGCACCCTGTTGACAGACACAGCAAAGTAATGTGGCAAAGTATCCCACAATGCAATGTTGTGGGAAAGCAGAGCTGATCCCTGTACTTCCCTCGTAGCTCTGTGTACTCTCTGTGCTGAGGAATGTCAAAACAGCACAGCAGTCTCTCCAGCCCTCCACATGCAGCAGCAGTCTGCCTGCCACTGTGTTCCTAATACAGAGCAGAACAGAAGCAGTGCAATCATTTGCTCGTTGTTTGTTCTCCGAAGGGAGCAACTCACTCAGCTGTTAGATACTTCCCAGAGCTTTGAAAGGGGAGAGGCGCATGCCTGCAGGGTAGCAGAGATCACAAAACACTGAGCAGAGCCATCAGGGTAGGCATTGTGGGATACTGCCAGAAGCCAGTTCTTTCAAAAAAAACAAACAACAGAGTCCACACTGACTCTTTGTCAACAAGAAAGAGAAGGAGGAAGACAGAAGTCTCTTGCAGGGGTGGAAGTTTTTTTTATTGCCAAAACTGGGTGATTTTTCCGACAAAAGTCGTATTGCAGTGTAATCACTCTCACAGTTTTATTGCCAAAAGGCAGTTTTTGGTGACAAAGCATGCCAGTGTAGACAAAGCCTCAGATAACCAGCCAGAAGGCTTATACTGAGATATGTGGCTGTTTTGTTACACAGCTGGTAAAGTGAAGCATTTGATTAATGACTTAGGCAATTAGATAAATAAATCAAATCTGGAACGTGACGTTGTGAATTAGGCCATGCTGTCAGCAATACTCTTTTTCCCAGTCAAGATTAATTTTGGGGGAGATCCTGCTTTTATCTGAGTTAGAGCTGGGTTGTGAGAGGAACAAGGAAGTAAAGTGATTTAATTATGTCTAAATCAGAGGCTTCTCTGAGAATATTATTAACTGACACAACTGCTTGAGGGAAAACCATATTTTGGTGACCCAATTTGTAGCAAATCAGGATTGAATTACATTGGCAAGAGCTATAAATTTGAATCCACATCTGCGTCTGCATAAGTGACCTGCAGATATAATGTGGATATCTGCAGTTTTCCAGGGTTCTAGATACAAAATTTGAATCCACATCTGTATCTGCAAAAATGAGCCATGGATATCCTCACCCACACCTGTGGCTATAAAGCAGACACCCATGAGTTTGCAGGGATCTATGTATATTTTTATAAGGAAGCTTGCAGGTGCTCTGCTATATTTTGGCTAGTTCCATCAACTCAGCCAAAGCTGCTGTCCCATTACTTTCATGTGCATCAAACACCCTCCGAAATTTTAATAAGATACAATTTCTCTTTTTGAATGAGGTCAGTATTTGCAGTTATCTGAGTTAAAGAGCCTTATCATCTAAGGCAGTGTTTCTCAACCAGTGGTACGAGTACCCTTAAGGGTACTCAAGAGAAGTCTGGGGGGTATGTCAACACAACTGAAACTTGGAGAAAACTGAATTTTTGATTTAAGCTTTGCAGTGCTTTATTATTTTTGTATTTTATACACCCAAAAATTTCATTGTCCACCCAGCTATGATTAAGTTGTTTAAACAAATGTGTTGCAATCTTAGAAAAAAAAATTTGTGTCTGAAAACTGTAGGTCCTGGGGGTACTTATAATATTTTTTGGGGGGGAAAAGGGGTACTTTATAAAAAAAAAATGGTTGAGAAACTCTGATCTAAGGCATAAGCTGATCCTTGATTGGGGTGAAGAAGAAATTTCCCGCATGATAGAGCATTACATATTTTTCTGCATCAACCTATAGGTGTTATACCAAGCTCTGAGGTATCCAACACTGGCCAGTTTTGGACGTAGGATATTAAGTAGACCATGGGTCTACTGAAGTTTTTTTGTTCTCTTGGTCTAAAATTATTTCCTGAGACCCATCATGGCTTCTTAAATCCATCACTAAAAATCAGAGCCAGACAGGGGTCAACAATTCATTTTCATGATCACTTCCAAAGTTTCCGAATTTTATTTTGTTTCATATTGGAATGAGGACAAAACCTTTGGAATATTTTCACAAAATGGAAGTGTGTTGAAAAGATCAATTTTTGATTCTTCTTGCTCTAGTTCTGATCAGAGAGTCCCCTGGATCTCCGGAACCTTTTAAGCAAAAAGCTTTGTCAAACATCTTTGAAAAACATTTGGGTTTTGATAAAAGAGCAAATTTAATCAGAAATATTCCAACTTTTTCTAAGTAAAATATTTACTTACAGCCATTGCCATTGTAATGACGTTGCTAGTCACTTTTTGTAGGATTCTTCCCCTTAATCAGCTAAGAAATTACATTGATTTGACCCTAGAAGGAGCTACTTCCCTTATCTCTTTCAGAGGAGAAAATAGAGGTTATAAGGGCTGAAGAAATATAGATACATAAATCAGATAAAAAGGCGAAGCCACTGAAAAAGAAAGAAGTCTTAGCTAGAGCCTGGAAGTATCTATCTTACAGGGCAAAGCAGTTACTATAGGCAAGGGATAGGCAATAATTTTTGAAGGGGGACCACGCCAAGATTTTGGAAATGGTCAAGGGCTGTATGCTTCCATGATATTAATGGCAGTGATATGGGGTTTGGGATGGAGGTTGGGTGCAGAAGGGAGCTTGCAGTAGGAGATTGCGGTGCAGGAGGGTATATGGGGTCTAGGAGGGAGTTTGGGTGAAGGAGGCAGTTGTAATTGGGGGCATGGGACTGGGGTGCAGGAATTCGGGTTATGACTTAGGACAGGAGGGGGATTGTGACCTGGGGTAGAGGACTGGGATGCCGGAGAGGAAGCAGGGGTTTGGGTTGTGACCTAAGGCAGGAGGAGGTTGTGACCTGGGGCAGGGGATTAGGGTGCAGGGTCTGGGAAGGGGTATGGATTCAGGAGGGGGCCAGAGGGTTGGGGGAGGGAGGAGCTCTGGCTGGGACACTTAACTGGGTGACTCCCTGCTAGTAGCCCAGCAAGTTTCTCAGGCAGCCTCCTTGCCTGCCTCATCTCCACACAGGCTGCAGGGGCCATGTTCATCTGTGAATAAGAGCCCGAGGAGAGGGATGCTTCGTGCACTGCCTGTTCTTCAAACAGGCAGCTCCTATTGGCCAGAGGCCAGCCAAAGGGATTATGCTGGGGCCGGTGGCAGTGCCTGAAGCCTCTCTCCACCCTTCACAGCTGTGAAACACAAACGGCTGGAGTGGCATGCAGGGTGGTGGGGCGGGCAAGCAGGGAATCTGCATGAGGCTCCCTGCTGCATCTGTGGTCCAGATCTGGTCCATGGGCCACATTTTGCCCAGATCTGCTATTGGCTCTGACGCCGCTAATTTCAGATAGTACACTGTACGTGAAAACCATTATTGTTTGTTAGGCAGTGGAATCTTAGAAATATTGTTAATACTACACAGTATAATTTCCTAAAACAACTTGTAATGACCTGATAGGAACCCAGACCTGGATTTAAAAATACATTGGAGAATTTCTAAGTGCTTGCCTCAATCGGTAGAAGATTGGTACATAATAGAAAATTGGCTCTAGTTTCTTCTTTAGCATTAACCCCAAAGAAATATAGTTGTCCATTTATTTTTGTACTCATTTTAGGCTATTGGACAGATAATCTCACCTTCAGCACTAAGTATCTCTCCAATTATATTTTATTTCCCCCCTCGGCCCATTCCATATGGTTACTTTTCTACATAGATCTTCACTGATTTGTGGGATAGATGGGTCTAAAACAACTTGGATACAAATTCTAGATCAAACTTCTCATATAATGGGTTACTACAAAACAGATCTGAAATCTCCTAAATGTTAGGGGTTAAAATCTGAACTCTCCCAAACCTCAGAGTGTTTCGATTCAGTTTTGATCAAATCATTTCATCTTCACCTTTATCAGTATATTTTAATATTGTCTCTTATAGATGCCCAGATATTTGGCGTTACAATAAAGATCTTAAATTATAACTTCACTGAACATTTCCTCAACATCAGTAGCACAGAATATCAAGAATTTTCAAGACTGTTGCTCACAGAGGTAACACTAAGATATATGTGTGTAATTGTTTTAAACTAGGGATTTACTTAATGTCTCAGAGAAGCTTGTTTGGTAAAAATCCTCAAGACATTTCTTTGGACCTTCACTTACAACTGAAAGAAAAGCTGTTGGTAAAATAAAAAAGCAATTCAGGGCCCTCACCTGGTTACCACTGTAAATCAATGGCAATTTTTCCTTTCAGAGGAGTGAAGGAAAAACAGTGATGCAGAGGGGCCTTGTCTACTTCAGATTTTTATATTGATAATGAACCTGTTGCAAGCTGATCTGCGGATTTTTAATGGATCTGTGAAATGATCACCGTTTCTTTGAGTAATGTTTTCAGCAGTTTTTCACCTGTTCTCAGAGCTCTTTCTCCTTTTTTTTTGTAAAAAAAGCAAATATGATTCTAGGCTGTATCAACAGGTGTGTTGTAAGCAAAACTCATGAAGTCATTCTGCCGCTCTACTCTGCACTAGTTAGGCCTCAGCTGGAGTACTGTGTCCAGTTCTGGGCGCCACATTTCAAGAAAGATGTGGAGAAATTGGAAAGGGTACAGAAAAGAGCGACAAGAATGATTAAAGGTCTAGAGAACATGACCTATGAAGCCAGGCTTCATGAACTGGGCTTGTTTAGTTTGGAAAAAAGAAGATTAAGTGGGGACATGATAGCGGTTTTCAAATATCTAAAAGGGTGTCACAAGGAGGAAGGAGAAAATTTGTTCCTCTTGGTTTCTGAGGACAGGACAAGGAGTAATGGGCTTAAAATGCAGCAAGGGAGGTTTAGATTGGACATTAGGAAAAAATTCCTAACTGTCAGGGTGGTCAAATATTGGAATAAATTGCCAAGGGAGGTGGTGGAATCTCCCTCGCTGGAGATATTTAAGAACAGGTTAGATAGACATCTGTCAGGGATGGTGTAGACAGAGCTTGGTCCTGCCTTGAGGGCGGGGGGCTGGACTCGATGACCTCTCGAGGTCCCTTCCAGTCCTATGATTCTATGATTCCTTTAAACAGAGGTGGCTGGTTCAGTCTATAACTAGTGAGTGGGCTGCATGAGTGGCCTCCTTCGTCTCGGTGGGTTGAATGATTTCCCACCACTGGATTTCAATCTACTGCCCATGGCTCATTGGAGTTCCACCTGTGGCCTGCGTACCCCCTCTCTGCCCCTTTCCCCCCATACCTCTTGCTCACTGGGGCACCAGAACCCTGCATTTCGGACTTCTCCTCCGACTTCTCCCAACACTTTTGGAGCACCACAAATCGTCTGATTTGCGCTCTGTATCCGCTCCTACCTCTCCCTCCCAGAGCTTGAACAGCCACGAACAGCTGATTTGTGGTGCTCAAACTCTGGGAGGGCAGGAGAGGGGTGGGGACGGAGTGCAACTCAGGTGATTTGTGGTGGTCTGAAAGTGCTGGGAGGGAGAAGAAGTATGAAGTGCAGGGCTCCAGTGTCCCAGTGTGTGAATGGCACGTGAAAGAGGGTTGTAGACAGGAGGTGTGTGGGCCACAGGTGGAACAGGACACAGGTTGCCCACTACTGGTCTGTAACCTCATTAGATATTCACATACTGCATGGCAATACCGCATGCCATGAATCAAAGGTGGTGTTAATTCATAAGTCATGAGATATGAAATAAATAGGCCTGAGCCATATGAAGTTTGGATACAGACAGGGACTTCCACAAAGTATGGGGAGTTTCAGCTGGGATATTCTGGTTTAGTTCCATTTTACACAGGTAGACCCTCATTAAGAAGTTCAGATCTAAATCCAAGCTCAGAATTTCCCAAAACTAAATGGGGCTTGGGCCCATTTGTACATATAAAGTTCAAAAAAGACTGAAAATGAAAAGATTGGAAACACAGGACCACATTTTCAAAGGAAGACATAATAGATACATTTGCTTACCTAAATGGACTTTTACTCATGCAAAATGGGTAATTGCTTGCATAAGTGCAAGATACAGGTTTCTGTGGCTATATTCCACCCTTGATAGGGAGAGGCATTTTGGTGGTTCTGTCGGATTCAAACAGCAAAATATTTTCAGCAACATCCAAAGCCATACAAAAATCAGAACTCAGACTAGTCAAGTACCATATTTTCACACTTATAACCTGTGGGTTATATGCGTTTTTACAAACCCCGCACCCCCTCCCCCAGCGGGGTATACTCGGGTTCGGGGTATACAAATATTTTTAAACTCACTTGGTGAGTTCCTGCGCAGCCTCCAGCCTCTGGCCCGGGGAGCACTCATCCCCCTGTTTCCTGCGCAGCCTGCAGGAACCCCCCCAGCACCGTAAATTAATGAATATACCCCCCAGCACAGAAAAGTCTTGTATACGCTGTGGGTTATACTTGTGCGAGGGGTATACAAGATTTTTTTTTATTCAATTTGGAAAAATCGCAGGGTATATTCGGGTGCAGGGTGTATTCACTAAAATACCGTAATTTGCTCAGATTCATGACCATTTTGGATGCACCTTAGGCTAGGTCTACTCTATTGGGTTTTATTGGAAAAAGCTACACAAATTGCACTCCACAATTTGTGTAGCTTTTCCGATTGTTTTTTCAGAAGAGGCTTTTCCGCCATTTGGCCCCGTCTAGATGAGGCCAAATGGTGGAAAAGCCCCCTCTTTTGGAGGAGGCCTTATTCCCTGTGAAACGAGGAATACAGAGCTTCCCGAAAGAACGTGTTTGCTCTTCCATGAAAAAAAGTGGAAGAGCTAGTGCGTTCCCTAGATGTTCCCCCCGCAGTGTAGTCATAGCCTAAGTTTGGTTTGAGCAAACCTTAACTGCTTTATGGTATCTTATAAGTTACAGTTTAAGGCTAAAAGAGAACCCCAGAGATCCAGTCCAGTGTTTCTCAACAACCAGTCCATGGACTGGTGCTGGTCTCTGAGGTCCCCTTAATGCAGTTTAGGAAGGCAGCAAGGCAATCCCAGGTATCAACAATAGTGGAGAAACACTGATCTAGTCTGAATTCCTACTCAGCACCTGCTAACCTCACATTGTAACTCAAAGCAAAAATATTCAGGCTCATGCAGAAATCAAAGGCTGAAAAGCACCTGAAAGGCAAATCTGGTAACTTTAGCAGAACTCTAACATTGCCTTTAGTGCATTAGACTCGTCCCTCCTGTAACTCTATTAGCTTAGTATATACATCCACTTACCTCATTGCTGGGAAAGCATAACATATTTGTGTGTTGGCTTTCAGACAATTCACCCAAATAAAACTGGTTTATATAAGCTATCCACGTTTTGAGAAGTCAGTTGTTTTTTCTTGTCTCTGTGTCCAATTTCTTTGTAGTTGGATTCCACTGCAGTTGTTTTGGGACTGTGTGTTTCAAATAAACTACAGTCTGTGAGGGCTTCAGTCTGGTTACATAGGACTGAACAGGTGAACTAGGAACAAACCAGGAGATAAGAGCTCTAGAATTGTCCCATATTGGCATCAAAAGTTTAATGGACATGAAGTCACTGAGACACATTCAAATTTTGTGCAAGTGAGTTCAAGGCTAGTGAAGTTAGTGGATTCTGTTCATTTGAGCCAGGGTTTCATTTGGTCTCTAGCATCATTTTCATTAGACGTGACTTTTTTTGAATGGGCCTAAGTTCCATTTTCAAGTTACCTAGGTGCCTTGATCTCACTGAAAGTCAATGAATCAATGAAACTTAGGCTACTAAGCACCGGAATGACTTCTGGAAATGGGACTTAGGGTTCTAAATCATTTAGGAGCTTTAACTTTTCTTTTTTTTTTTTGCTCTAGTTCAGTTTCAGATTGGAGAACAGCTCCTATCCTTGGGACCAGAGGGCTCAGTACAGAACTCAGGGAAAGGATAGGAAGATGGATTTATGTCACTTGTGCACACTCTGATCCCAACACCTGTTGGGAGTTAATTTGACCTTAGCTGTATCTTAGAGATATCTCAAAGTTGCTCTAATTGGGGATCAATCCAGTAGTTTTCACAGCAGGTGCCAGCCATCTCCTTCTCCTCAATATGCCCATGACCTGGTTCTTATTCTTGGGGGAACAAAGGAGGTTGGTTATGGAAGCTGGCTACGCTGGCCCAAAGGCACCAAGCATTTCCCTATGCCAGGGGAATCCCTACCTGGCCACCTGGACCAGAGCCTGGGGTGACACATAGTGGGGTGGGGTATGTCACATGACCCCTACAATTTGTTGCTAGGCTTGTACTGAACATGCTCAATAACACTGCTGAAGCAGGCATGGGTCATACTTCATGGTTGCTGAGGAGTTGGCCCAGAATCTGAAATGTTCTTTGAATCATCTCTGCCCTTATTGCCACCTATCAAATCTGAGGGCTTTATTCTTATTTACACTGTGGCCCTTCGCACTGATCTGGCCCAGCAAGTAGGTCTTAAGGTAGATATAAATTACATTGACTCCCAAATTAAAGCTCCTTTACAGTGCCAGAGTGCTGCAAAAATAAGCCCTTGTGTAAATGAGAATTAGGCTTCAGAATTAGTGCTTGACAGCAAGGGCATTTACACAGAAGGAGGTACATATCGTAGCTATGAAATCTCTTACTGGACACTACAAATATACAAAATGTATTGATTCTTTGTCATTAATTCACATTATGGCCTTCCACTATATTGGGAGTGTATTAGACCCAGATGAATTACTCATTTTTGTGATTTATATCACAGACTGGACAATGGTTTGCTATAAATGGTGTATATAGGATAATAAAATAGAGACAGCATAAATATTAATTACATTTCTAATGTGCTGCTTGAATTGTGTCCTTACTGTATTATCAATATTTTGCTCATTTTTTCAGATTGAAAACTCATTTCCACCAAATATTTCTATGTTGTACAAAACTGGGAAGCTGAAGGTGCAAATTGAGTCCCTGAAAGCTGGAAGTATAATTGTGAGACTTAGAATCACCATACAGGATCATGAGTTTCCAATAGACGTGTCAACATTTGCTCCGATGCTTTCTTCTCTGTATAGAAGCTCAGTGTTTTTGATTGATCAGCAGAGCTCCTCAATTGAAGGTAGATTTTTAAAAAATATTATTTTCATAACTTTCAATAGCATTTGCACTCTTGTCAAAAATACTTTACATAGAAATAAGGTCCAGTATTAAACTGACAGCAATAGTATTGTAAGGAAAATAGTGAAATCAGACCTCTCTTCACAGGCTTAGAACCAGAATGGCCTCTTGTAACTCTTTGCCCCTTGGCCCGCATGGCTAGGCATGGTGGGTGTCTCGTGTCCATGTGGGGATCTTTTCACTGTTTATGGTATCTGAGTCCTGAAGAGGGAATGAGTGGAACCTGAATTAGCAGTTTCCATCCTTCCTCCTCTGCTTTGTGGAATGTTAGAAGGTTGCCATCTAGGGGTAGTTGAGGATAGTGAGTGGATTACTTTGGGGATGTGAAACACATATCCCCTCTGGAATACTATATGTTCAAGGCTGCTGCTGCTAAGAACATAAGAATGGCTGAACTGGGTCAGATCAAAGGTCCATCTAACTCAGTATCCTATCTTCTGACAGTGGGAAATATCACGAGACCCAGAGAGAATGAACAGAACAAGTAATCATCAGGTGATCCATCTCCAGTCACCCATTCCCAGCTTCTGAAAAATAGAAGCCAGGGACATTATCCCTGTCTATCCTGGTTAACAGCTGTCAATTGACCTAAGCTTCATGAATTTATTTAGTTTTTTTTCAAACCATATTATAATCTTGGCCTTTGAACATCCTGCAGCAAGGAGTTCCACAGGTTGACTATCTGTTATATTTGGTTCAGATTTAAAAAAAATATAATCCAGCATTTCCTTGATAAAAGTCTAGCCAGAAAAATTACCTGATGCCATCTCAGTGAAATGAACTAAGGAACTGTGCATGGAATTTATGTTTTAATAGCTTCTCTCAGTGAAACCAGGGAAGAAGGGCTCGCAGAGGGTAGTGGAAGCACTTCAAAGACATACTGAAAGTACACCCTAAAAAGGGAGGCATCATCCCAACAAACTGGAAAGACTCATTGTAGAATAGAAACCTGTGATGCCACACCATGCACCAAGCCACACTTACTTTGAGGAGAATAGATGTGCTCATGAGACACAAGCAACAAAAGAGGAAAGAAAGGATAATCAATGCTATATGCCGAAATAAATCATTGGAGTGTTCATCCCTGGCTGCACATACATTATATACAGTGGTGCAACTAAGGTCAATTCTTTCCAGTACAGGGGGCACCAGTTAAGGGGGAGGCATGTGACCCTCCTTCTTGCCCCCAGCACAGGGCCCCCCTGCTCTCCCTTCCCTTCCCCATGATCCATCCCTTTTTATTTGGGAGTAGAAGGGGCATGTATACTCACTCCGTTTCCTGCTGCTCTGGGGACATGGGAAATGAGCAGAATGGGGGCCACTGAACAGTCCCACACCAGCAGATCTTCTGAAATGTACTGCCCTCTACCCTTCTGTGCAGCTATGCCAGAGAGGAGCTCTGTCCTTCCACGCAGGCCTGCTAACAGGAATTCCGGGCCCCAGAACAACACATCAATGGTCCCCCTAGCTGGATGAAAAGACTAAGGCTAAGTTAATTCAACCCAGCTACATTGTTTGGATGTTAAAAAATCCAGCGCCCTGAACAACGTAGTTAAACTGACCTAACCCCCAGTGTAGGCAGCACCTGGTCAAGGGAAGAATTCTCAGCATAGTTATTGCCTCTCAGGGAGGTGTCATAACTGCACTGAACTGAGAACCACCTTCTGTTGTTGTCATGAGTGTCTACACTGAATTGCTATAGTAGTTCAAGAGCAGACAAATCCTAAGGAAGCGGGGAGGGACATTGAAGTGAGGGACAGTAGCATGGGAGACAAAGGAGGAGGGAAGTATGGAGAGCAGGTGGAATGATGCTGATGTGCAAAGACTGTGTTGGATAGGGCAGGAGAGGGTTGGCATGAACATCCATTCAGCACAGGATAGAGAACTTAGCTGCTGTTACATTATGGAATAAAGATGTCAGTCTTGAGGGGTAAGGGAACATGCATACAGGAGGCAAAATGACATGCTCAACAAAATGAAAGAAAAACCTCAGTGAAAATCTTCATGAGTAATGGAATGTAAATTACTTTATAATGGTACTTCAACACTCTCAAAGTGGGTTGGTTTCAACTTAAAAAGGGATGCAGACTTGGAATAAATAAAAGATAGCAATTAACTCATGAGTCTTAAAGAGAGAGAATTAAAATGTCACTGGGGAGGAAGTACCAAACAAGCATATGATCAGACATAAAGACAATGCATGTGTGCGCACACACTTTTCCTTTTCTATTTTTAGAACAGACATTTCCTTTGTTATAGGAAAAAAATCCCAATAATGAATATTTGTACATGTTCAGCGCAAGAGCTTAAGGATGTTATATTGAACAATAAAATTTTCCAGTCCTTTGATCAGAGGGATTTGTAGGTTTGATTACATTTTAGCATAGTCTTTTTTTCAGGTGAACTTGTGCTCTGATTCTGTAAAAAATGTATCCATGAGAATAACTTTACATGTACAAGTAATCACATTCATCTCAATGAATCTACTTGCACATGTAAAGATAATTACATATTTAAGGGTTTGATGTATTGAATTCTAAATGTTCCTGAAATATGTCGTCGAGAGTACCCTTGAGAATTAAGTCTTCTATTTAGCCACATACATAGCACTGGCAGTGGCAGTGGAAGCTTTTCCCACTTCATCATAACAGAGTGCCCTTAAAACATCTTCTTACATATCTAATCAATGATCTCTTTTTTGAGACTAATTTAAAAGGTATCAACTATGATATTAGATTTTATGCCACTTGCTTTTACCCTTAAAACTGCCTCCTTCAAAAGTGTTCCCTGTGGGCATCATTTGGATCCATATTCTGTTAAAACCTAAGTAAATTTCCAGTAGACTTGCTGGTCCAGATGCATGCTTGGGTTGCAATTTAATTGGTACATGAAATGTCATGAGATGTGGGGAACTGAATTCAGTGGAATGTATGCTTTGGATTAACTTGCCTCATTGTTTACATATTGTATTTTCTAATGTCCAACAGACTTTCTCTAATTCAAGCCTACAGTATGTCTCATTTTAAGTCTATGAAAAAATCTAAAGAATTCCCTTTATGAACATCTTTTCCTGGCTAGGATGCCCATTTAAAAAAATATCTGCAAGGATATTAAGATCAAGCAATATTGTAAGTCTTTAAAAACTTGGACCTCGGGTAAACTGTAAGGACTGAGAAGTATTTAAGTACGTTCTAGAGTATTTTGTGATTGTTATTAGTTATAATCCAAGTCAGCCAAAGAGAGGCTATTTTATTTACACTTTGGTTTTGTCATTACAGACTGGGATGAATGTGCATCTCATTCAGAGAATGACTGCTATATGTATGCAGAGTGTATCAATCTAATTGGCTCATATATATGCAAATGCAAGACAGCCATGGATACCAATCCATCTCGACCTGGAAGAAACTGTGAAGGTGAGCAAGAGATTTGTCAGTAGTTTTTTTTTTCCAGGAAGAGCTGGATCACATCATTTCACCACCTCCACTTTATTTTTATCATCATCTACAATTTATACAGTGCAGAAGATGTTCACGGGGCTCTCCTCAGTAGTGATCCATGCCCTGCTGACCAGAGGAGAGGGAGGCCAGGAACTGAATCTGCTTCACTGTGTAGCAAGGCAGAGCACTAACCTATACTAACAGACCCTGATTTGAGTAGCATATTGGGCAAATGTTGTAATAAAACACACACATCTTGCTGACATGGCACTAAAGAGCTCTGATACATTCGAAAATAAACTAGGGAACGTTCTAAAGTTGTATTCTTTTGGTCTGACCTTCCATTTCGATGTCATTAATGTTGTTACAGGTGAAATTGTGAACCCAGTTACTGAATCAGGCGGGACAGAAATACCATCTGAACCAAATACTGGACTGTATGCTTCACCCGCAGGCACTGAAATAAGAATGAGGACAACCACATTAAATGTGCCTACTGTGCTTCCGGCAAGTGGTACGCAAGTGTCAAGCAACTATTCTTCCATCAGCGGTCCTCCAGTAACTCAGAGAAAGGACATGGCATCGTCAGTTGGATTTGAAAGAAATAACACATTAAACATGAAGGGTCCAACCACCATTAAAACACTAGTTGTGGTGACAAAACTATGGAAAGCTGTAAGTGAATCAATGGAAAACTCTGTGGAGGAGACTTCAGCTGATGAACCACAGCAACTGACCACTGTTACTTATGCATCCCTGGCTGCAACCAGGCAAGAGCATCACAATTCGTCATTGCCCACGTTATCTATTGTTTCCAATACAACTGCTGCTGTTACGAAAGAGAAAGCTATAGGAGAGACCGACATACCTCTCTACATTCCTGAAGCAAATTCTCAGAATGGCTCCAATCCATCCATGCCAGCTACAGTAGATCCTACAATTTATGTTCTAAATTCCACCCTTGATGCACATGAAGAAAGGGGAAGAGTTAGCAACTCTTGCTCTGAGAGCTCTCCTAAAGAATCCTGCTCAGTAACACCGGTTTCCCCTGACTTCTCACCAGCTTTTAGTGCAACCACTTTCCCGGCCACAGATTGTAGTGAGTATGCATCACAGCTCTGTTCTACATGCTTGATAATTGTTCATAAGAAGAAAGAAGTCAGAGTCCTAAACAATACGTAGTTGTTTGTGTGTTGGGGTACAGGACGTGACTGGCAAATATAGTTAGTCTTTGTGAAATATATTTTTTCTTGTAGACTTGGCATTATTCCTAAGTGCATTTTTCCAAATAAGCATGGCAGAGCTTTGCTAAAATAATCTTCCAAGTTTTGGAGGGTTAGCTGTGTTAATCTGTTTCAGCAAAAACAACAAGGAGCCCTGTGGCACTGTTAAGGAGTAAATCCTCATAGTTTTTACTGACTCTTCCAATATTTTGATAGTAAGTTCATCGATTTGTAACACTTTAGGGCTACGTCTACACTGGCCCCTTTTCCGAAAGGGGCATGCTAATTTTACAGGTCGTAATAGGGAAATCCGCGGGGGATTTAAATATCCCCCGCGGCATTTAAATAAAAATGTCTGCCGCTTTTTTCCGGCTTTTAGAAAAGCCGGAAAAGAGCGTCTACACTGGCCCCGATCCTCCGGAAAAAAGAGATCCTCCGGAAAAGGGCTTTTTTTCGGAGGATCGGGCTGGATTGGGGCCAGTGTAGACGCTCTTTTCCGGCTTTTCTAAAAGCCGGAAAAAAGCGGCGGACATTTTTATTTAAATGCCGCGGGGGATATTTAAATCCCCCGCGGATTTCCCTATTACAACCTGTAAAATTAGCATGCCCCTTTCGGAAAAGGGGCCAGTGTAGACGTACCCTAGACGTCTATCATCAAAAACAGACAAAAGTGACTGGTGTAACACTTTCAGTGTTGCTTTATTTAAAATTGTGATACATCTCTTATGCCACAAAGACCTTGGGAGGGATCCTTTCTCTTGCTATGGTCTTCACAGGCTGCAGCAGCAGCATACAGACAAAGTCCTTTGGCCAGCTCAGAGCTTTCCTGGTACACGAGAATGTAGACTATGCACAGATTGAAGGGTCTTTATAACTGAGGTCGGGGAGAGAAAGATTGTCAGATTTTGCACTTCCCTAAAAGTTGCCAGTCAGGTAAGGGCCAGCCAGATCCCTGAAAACTTGAGCAAAGAAGGGAAGTGTATGGAGATCTGAAAGCAACTATGTGAATCTCTCTAATGAGGATTGATTAGGGAAGTGAGCAGGCATGGTCTATTTGGACTGGGGAAATGTACTGCAGTGGTTCTTAGGAATTTTCTACCTTTTTGGGATCAGCATTTGGATCTGAATCAAAGTTGGGGTTTGGGTAAAAACTGCAAGCCTTAAATTCTAATTGTGCTTTTTTTGGGCTCCATATGTCGCCCTCTGCAAGTATTGCTTTTATTCATTTAATGTATTATTGAATTGCTCCTGATTTGATTGTTTTTGGTTGGCTCAGCCACTGCTTTCACTTGTATCTCCTGCTTTTAAGGTCCTTTGTAAAAAGGAAATGGAGAGTTCCTTCTGCTTTACTGAATCCTCTGCAGCCGTAAGGGAAATACAGCTATGAGTGAGGGTAGCGCAGGCAATGAAGAGAGCAAATCTCAGTCTTTTCATCAGAGGAGAGATTGACTAGATTGAATAATGTCTCCTGTGAGGCCACAGGCTGCTTTTCACCTCTTTCTAACTGACATAGCAAATCGGGAACATAAAATACTCACAATTCACCTTTTGGGTATAAATGGAATAAAAATGTCTCCACTTCACAGGAGCGGGTGCTTGTTGTAGCAGCCTGCAAAGGAGTGCATAGTAGGGGGTTACTTTATAAAGGAGTTACTGTACAGGCTGTCAGCATGTTCTAGTAAGCAAACAAGATTTTTTCAGCTTGAAGGTTTTGTGTTGAGGCTTGCTACTTCCCCCCTGGCTCTGTGTGGGTCTTAAAGGCTGGTTGTGCTCCTCCTCATTGAAGACATTGGGAAACACCTGGTCTCTGTGCTTCTGGATTCAGGCCAACAAACATACTGATAATAAAAATGCTGTGGTGGCACACATGAGCAAGTGTGCTGCTTTTACTTTGCTCAGGGAAAATGTTTACTTCGAGAAAGATAGTATAGAGCTGTCCTCAATCCCCAGTCTGGCTGCAGCTTGCTTCTTCATTCCACTTAATGTGCTGCTATTTCAGCTTCCCTAGTCTTCCCCTCTACTCTTTGTCTGAACCACCTCTAGCCAATGTTCCCTCTAATTTTTTCCATCTATGTGCAGAATAAATTTTGTTGCGTGCCCTGAGGCATGCGCAGATGTGCAGCACCAGTAGAAGCACCTGCTGTGGGTGCTCTGCTAATTAACTGGGTGGCATTTGAATCTCTCCTGGGTGGCTGCTCAAGCACCCAACTTACAGGGAACACTGTCTCTAACCCATCATCACTTGCTAGCCATTATTTGTCCCATTTGCTTTCCCCAGCTCTTCCTCTGCACCCTCTTCATTATCCACTCCTTCCCACCCACCAGCACTATCCACTCAATCCTTCCTTCATTTCTATCCTCCATCCTTATCTTCCCCATGCTTCCCCTCATGCCCTCTATCCACTTCGCCACACCATCTGCCCTCAACTCACTATCTGCCTTGGCGTTTGTCCCACTGTCTTCTTTCTCAACATTTTCCTTTCCTGTTCATCTCTGCCTGCCTTTTTACTTCTACAGTGTCTGTCCCCCTGCTCTGTTGTTCTTTCTTTTACTTCTTCTAATCCTCTCCCTTCCCTGATGCCAGCTCTTTCTGCCCCATTCTCTTCCTGACACCTCCTTGTCTCCCACTCCTTGGATCTCCTCCCTTCCCATCCCCCCACTTCTATTTTCTCTGTCAGGCTCCTTATCTCCTTGGGTATCATTTTATCTCTTGGAAGCTCTCTGCCACTCATTCCTGGAGTCCTTCCCCTTCCCACTCTGGGGTGTCTTGAATCCCCTCACCCCGTCTGCCGCTTCTCACCACCAGCCCCTACCCCCAGCCCTTCCAGTGCTTTGTGGAGCTGTCTAGCAAAGCACACAGGATGTTGGCTAGATGGCTGCCTCTCTTCTCCTTGTTGCCTCCTCTGAAGATACTGAGAGCATGGAAAGGGGACAGCCTAGGGGACTGCTGCTAGCTACTATGAACGAGAAGAGGAAGCATCACAACAGCATCAGCTGGCTCAAGGCAGGACATACAGGGTTTCTGGAGGAGCCCACTCCCTTGATCTCTCCATCAGGGGTCCCATTGCATCTCCTTGGTGCAATATCTGCCCTGGAATTGACTATCCAAATACTCTTCTTATGTAACCTTGCTCAGCTCCATATAGATATAGGCTTTAGCCAGCATTGGATTTATTTTATTTGTTAAAAATTGCATGCAGATATTTTAATACTGAAAATTACCTAAGGAATGGCCAGTCAAGTGGGATATTTGAATGCAGTTAACCATTTCAAGGTTGAAAGGCAAACTACAGCAGACACATTGAGCAAGAATGTTTCAGTTCCACTCATCTAGCCATGAGTTTTAAATGCATTCCTTCTGCATCGGAATCCTGGTAAGGAAGAGAGAGCCTGCTTCAGTAGTTAGCTGTAAGAGAGAGATGGTACTTTCCCTTCCCTCTGCAGAGGTTTGATTGTTGTTCATTTCTTTTCTTCACAGTACCTGTCCCGGTTCAAAGGATTATTTTCTCCAATGTGACTTTCATCAGCTTTCATGTAGCCTGGTCCACAGATTCTGCACTGAATCCTGCTTTCCGATTTCTACTGCTTCAGAAAAAACAGCTAATATGGGAGACTAAAATCCAGAGCAATGAGCTGACTGTGTCTGGGCTAGAACCTGGGATCTTGTACACCATTGAAATCAGGACAGAAGTTTGTGGGAAGGAAAGCAAACCAGCACGTCAGACAATAAAGACAGGTAATTTAATTTAGAAACAACTCTTACGATTGCTTCTTAAATGGCCTGCTCTTAATGCCATTGAAGTCAGTAGAGGAAATGGACTTCTATTTATAAGAGAGCACATGGCCAGGACAATGTAAGGAGGACATGGTAAGGATGAGTAGCAGCTGTTGGACGAGGACGGGTTGAAAACAATGGGCTGACAATGACTGCAAATATAACAGTGGTATAAAATCCGCATTTGTGTCTGGCCTTGGAATGGTACCATTGATACAAATCATATCTTGTGGATCTCCTCCCTTCCCATTCATAGGCTAGAGATGTTCAACGGTTGCTTCTGAGGGAGAGTAATACTGGGAAATTATTTAATTAGATTAGTTTGATGCGATTCAGCAGGTAGAAACGAGGTGGAGCAGCTGCACTGAGGGAGGGCAATAATTTTTTATGGCGAGTCACTCCAAGAATTTGGTAAGTGGTCAGGATCACACTTTTCTATTACATTGATGGAGGAAGTGCGGGGTCTGTGACAGAGTTTGGGTACAGGATGAAGCTCTGAGGCGGGTATTGGGGTGCAAGAGAGTGTGAGGTCTGGGAGGGGGTTTGGGTGAAGCAGGGGGTTGTGACCTGGGGCAGAGGTTTGGGATACAGGAAGGGGTGCAAGGCCTGGGAGGGGGTATGGGTGCAGGAGAGGATTAGGATCTGGGGGAGGAGTATAGAAAGGGGTGCAGAGGCTTTGGGTTGTGACCCGGGGCTGGGGGTGAGGTCTAGGAGTGGATGGGGTGCCAGGTGTAGATTCTGGTTGTGAGGCGCTTACCTTAGGCAGCTCCTGGCCAGCAGCCCAGTGGAACCCTCAGGCAGGTTCCGTGACTGCTGCATCCACACATGCCACTCAAAGTGGTCAGCTGCTTGGGCCAGTTTGTGCATTTTTGTGTGACTCACTATGAGGGGAGGGGGACAGTGGGTCTCCACATGCCTGCAAGCATGGTCTAGGCAGCTCTCATTGGCCAGTTTCTGGCCAGTGGGAGCTGCAAGGATTGTTCTGGAGGGCGAGGGTACCGCAGACACACACAATGGCCCCAGCAACTGACTGCTTTGAGCGGCATGTGGGGATGTGGCAGGCAGGGTCCCGCTGGGCCTCAGGACATTGATAGCGCAGAGTAAATGAAGCGCTAGCTCTGAAGTGTGTGGTGGGTTGGTTGCAGCCCATGGGCTATATTTTGCCCACCCCAAGTTACACTATGTACCAGAACACCAGTGGTCTGTGGATCACATTCTTCTAAATAACTGTTTTCTGATTTTGCAGCTGTTCAAAAACTGACTGGATCACTAAGAGTAACAAATATGAAATATACAGCAGATTTCAGCAATACAAGTAGTGAAGAATATCAAAACTTTATACGGCTGTTTCTTGATGACGTAAGTTGATTAAAAAATATTATTATTTGGTAATTTGTTTCAGAGGGGTAGCCGAAATAGTCTGTAACAGGAAAAACTTAAAAAACGACAAATGGTCTACTAGCACTTTAAAGACTAACAAAACATCTAGAAGGTATCATGAGGTTTCGTGGGCACAGTCCACTTCTTCAAATGACCGGCCATCTACATGTTTTGTTAGTCTTTGAAGTGCTACCGGATTATTTGGTAAGTGGGCTTGATAAAATGAGGAATATGTTTGGCCAATGAGGGTTCTGTACCATACATATATCCCCCATACTTAAATGAGTTGAGGCCCATTGACTACATTAGTAACAAAAGGAAGCACAGCTCAGTGGCTTGAGCATGAGATCTGGAATCAGAAGTTTGGGGATTTATTCCTGGCTCTCTGGGCCTCAGTTTCCTCTGCAAGAATCTAGAGATAATCAAGCAGGCTTAAATGAGGCTAATGAATGTTTGTGAAGCATCTTGAGATCTTTGGACTTCAAGGCACCATACCAATGCAAATTAATGCCCTTGTAGTCCTTTTTCATATCCCCTCAGGTCTGATAAAGTAGAGATTTTTATTATTATCCTCTTTCATAGCCCCTAATTTTATACCCTGTCCCTCCTTTATGAAGTAAGCTTTAATATCACATTTAATTTTCAGCACAGAATACCAAGCTACAGTCTTTTAATTCAGAGGGATTTCATTTGGAGGTGCCAGACCTTGAAACCATTAAACAGGAAATGTCCCACTGATTTTAAGAGCAGGATCAGGCCCCAGTTAAGTAAACTTTGTCAGAAGGTTTCTTTAATTTGTTCAATGGCATTGTGTCTTTACAATCCACATGTGTTTGCTTATTTGTAAAAACTGGCACATTTTAAAAAAAATGAGTGTAGTGCTTCATAGAGGTACTAGACTGACAGTGCTGGAGATTGTGATCCTGTCCATGCCACAGTGGGGAAAAGAGCAAGATGTAAAAGCCTGAATTTACAATTTGTACTGTCAGTGCCCAAGATAGCTGCCCCATATTGTCCATCCAATACACTTTGTAACAAGGTGGCTTACCCCATGGGTTGGAAACCTGGGTGTTAAATCAACCCTGATGACTGGGTGAGCCCCACCTGAGAGGAATCAGGTGATTCCAGTACAAAAGGAGCAGGGCGTTGCAGTGAATGGGAATGGGGGTGAGGAAGTGCAAGTGCAAGGTGTTGCATGAGTAGAGGGAAAACTCAAGAAGCAGGAGAGAGTGAGGAAAACTCTCCAGGCAGAAGGACCTGGCTGGTGAGGTGAGGTAGGATACTTCAAAGGCTGTGTAAGAATGATCTGTTGAGCAGGAGATGCTTTGAAGATAGTCCCTTAGGGAAGAGGGGCTGAAACTGGGTTTAAGACTGTAAGTCTGAGTTTTGGATTATTAGGAGAGAGACACTGAACTGGGTTTGGGGCCTAGATAGCCAGTGTGCACCAGAGTACTCAGTAAATTGGACCCTAGGAGGGTATTGTTTGAACTGCCTTTGAATAGTGGGTGTTCTCAAAGGGCCCCAAAGCAGGGAAAACCAGAAGCAGAGTGCTGTAGAGCAACTGTTGGCCCTGGGAGGGGGGAGAGCGGTTGTTCAGCTGTGGCTGCTGGTGTTATACACCTTAAGCCTGGCTTGGAGGAACTGTCACTTGGAGTGAGAAGGTAATTCTTCCTCTAGGCAGGTCCCTCTGCCTCTCCATTGAGACTGCCCATCAGGATGGCAGTTAGTGTCAATTGTGGTAGTTTAAGTGATGTGGACTCGAGTCTATTAGTGCTGGACTAGGTTGCACTTTTCTTCCATTTGGCCCCATCTTAAAATGCAGTAGGTGAGGACAGCAGCTGTGTGGAGTAGAATGGGAGGTTGGAAGGAGTGGTACCTGTCATCCTAAATAGCAAGTCTATTCTATTAAAATATCCTCCTACTAATTTTATTATCCATCCCCAGGGTTTCATTGCAATTCTAATTCTTCCCCTGTCAACAGGGCTCTCCAAATATGTGACTTAGAAGTGCCCAGAGTACCTACTGCAGTATCTCTGACATTGTTCCCTGGATCTACTGGCAGGGTTATCTCTAACCCGCACCTACCAGAAAGTACTCTCCTTTTGGCAATAATGAACCTTTTGCTTTTTACCTTTCAATGTACTATCCTGCAAGTGAAGGTGTGACTGTAGCATAGGTAGGCGTAATGGTGTTGATGTTTCATTTAGCTAACGTAGCTAGCAATAGTAGTGAAGACACAGTGGCTTGGATGTCGGCATCTGCTAGCCAACCCAGTTTGCATCCAGAATCCCCAGTGGGCTCTATCTTGGACAGCTAGCCTGTGCTAAATCTGTGCCATCACATCTTTGCTACCGTGTTACCTGTGGTAGCTAAATTAAAGCTCTCATGGGCTTGCCTACCCATGCTACAGCCGTTCCTTCCCTTGCAATGTATACCCTTTACTGCTTCTATTTCGGAGTTCCTGGTGTTTCCTTTATACATTGATCCAGCCAACAGACCAGATTCAGTGACAAATCTGTTCATATGCCACCTGAGGCATGTTGCGCATATGCTAAAAAGACTGACGGTATTATAGCTAGTTTATTTCCTGGTGGCAACACCTCACAGTAGAAAGATGGATTTTGCTTCTGTAGTATAATTATTTTCTTTTAAAAATTCAGAGAAAGAAATTTCCTTTTCATATGCCACGGTGCTCCATCTGCCTCCTGCTTTTATCACACATTATTTTAATGATAGGGCATTGTTCAGTCATACAGTAATCTGAAGAGAGAGGCTAGGCTAGTAGTGTCACTTGGTAGCTAACTGTGAGTGGCTAACTATGATGTGAATGTAACCATGATTTTTTTCAGGTGCTTACCTCTGAATAAAATAAAATATAATAAATAAAAATCTCATTAAAAAGAAGTCCACAAATGAATGAAGAAGGGAATATCGGTGAAGGCCGAGGAAGGTCCAGGGGAAGATTACAGACATACTTAAGGGCTGTAATTCAGATACATTATGAAAGATGAAAACTTAAGGCTAGAATTTGGCCTCATCTTTCATGATGTTTCAAAGTCAGCGGGAGAGAGCCCGCACCACACTGTTTGGACAAGTAAGATCTTCCTGGATCTTGTGTCCAGGTCTGATGTGGCACCCTGGATATTCCTTCCAAGAGCAGGTAGATGGGGAACGAGTGGAGCCTGTCTCTACCCCTAATGCTCTGGAAAGCAAAGTTGGACTAATGGGAGAGGAGAAGCTGCACCCTGTAAAAAGTTGTCAAGTAATTCCCCTGGCCCAGGAGCAAGGGAAGAGAGGGGAAGGAACTGTTTTGTACAGCATAGCTGTCATGGTCGAGCCTTTCCCAGTTGAGCCCTCAATGGGTAAATAGCCTGAAAGTAGCAAAGCTACTCTTTGTCTACCTTGCAAACATTGATCTATGAAATGCTACTTACTTGAGAGCTTGATTTAGAAATGAGGGAATTTAAATAATGGATCTCGCAAGCAAAGTCCAAGAATTATTATACTTAGATTGTATGTGCCAGGGATTCTCAAACTTCATTGCACTCTGTCTCCTTTGTGACAACTTAAATCTCTATATGACAGCAGAAGGGGAGACGGAAGCCTGAGCATGCCTGGGTACTACCACTCCATGAGGGAGGGGGGCAAAACAAAAGCCTGAGCACCACTGCCTTGAGCTGGGGGCAAAGCCCAAACGCTTCAGCCCCAGGCAGGAGGCCTCTAACCTGAGCCCCACTGCCCAGCTCTGAAGCCCTCGTTCTTCTGTTTCAGCAAGCTCTTGGCCCTGGTAAGTATAAACCAGCCCTAGCAATCCCATTAGTGGGGACTGTACCCACTTTGGGGTCTCAGACTACCATTTTCTGGCCTATGCTACAAGCTAGAGGAGTGATTCTCTTCCTCACACACACGTACTCGAGTTAGTGGGAGTTTCAATAGCAGTGCAGCCATGGTAGCATGGAGAGTGGTAGCAGAGGCACGGATTCACAATGCTGAGTATAATCCCACCTGAAATTGGTTATGTGCTTGGCACAACTCAGCCATGACTTTGCTGCCACTACTCATGCTACTGACTGCAGCTACATTGCCATTTATACTCATGTTAGCTTGCAGAGAGATGTGCACAAGTAGGGAATTCACACCCCAGTAAAGGTAACCTGAGAAGCAATGAAACCTCAAAAATGAGAGTATTTCCTCTTCTTGGTATTCACATTTGAAGCTGATTGGAGTTATGTATGTGCATCGAGGAGATAGTGCATGTCTTAGTTTGACAGGATGCTGGAGGAATTAATGACAGAGAGAAATACTTCCTTTGTCTTCGCATTTATCTGCCTTGTTGTCTTAGGCTGTGTCCAGACTCAGGGGTTTTTTCGAAAAAAGTAGCCTTTTTTCGAAAAAACTTCACCTGCGTCTAGACTGCAGTCGCATTCTTTCGAAATTAAATCGAAAGAATGCGGCTTTTCTTTCGACGGCGGTAAACCTAATTCCACGAGGAAGAACGCCTTTTTTCGAAAGTGCTCTTTCGAAAAAAGGCATTCTTGAAAGCAAACAGGGCTTTTTAGAAAGAGAGCATCCAGACTCACTCGCTGCTTTCTTTCAAAAAAGCGGCTTGCTTTTTCAAAAGTTCTGCGTGCAGTCTAGACGCTCTCTTTCGAAAGAGGCTTGCAGTCTAGACATAGCCTTAGAGTACATATACACAGCAGAGCTAAAGTCGAATTAAACTATGCAACTTCAGCTACGTCAATTGTGTAGCTGAAATCAAAATAGTTTAATTGGGCTTTTGGTGCTGCCTACACAGCAGGAAGTCGAAGGAAGAACACTCTGACTTCAACTCCCCTTACTCCTTGTAAAATGAGGGTTACTGGAGCCAGAGTAAGAAGTCCTCCAGCTCACCATTATTTCAAAATAACAGCCTTGCTGTATAAACATGCTCTTTGCTATTTCAAAATAACATCAGTTATTCCAAAATAATGCTGCTGTATAGACGTAACCTTAGGGTGCGTCTACACTTCAGGGCTTAACCCGAAATAAGCTACGCAACTTGAGCTACGTCAATTGTGTAGCTTATTTCAAAATAGCTTATTTCAAGATTGGAAGTGTCTACACAGCACTTATTTCAAAAGAGAGCACTCTTCCTCCAACTTCTCTTATTCCTCATACAACAAGGGTTTCGGGAATCAGAGTAAGAAGTCCTCCAGCTTGACAGTATTTTGATATTATTTCAAAATAACTGCCTGCTGTGTAGACGCGGTGCAAGTTATTTTGAAATAACGCTAGTTATTTTGAAATAAAGTTGCTGTGTAGATGTACCCTTAGAGTGCAAGCTCATTAAAGTAGGGACTGTCTCTTGCTCTATTTGCACATCCTCTAGCGCAGTGGGGCTCTCATATTCCTTCCACATTTGCTCCTGTGAAATAAATAAAAGCAAGAGAGACAGCAATAAGTAACAGCAATAGGCATTTAGGATTGAAAAATGTGTGTATATTGTTTATTTCTAAGTGTGAAAAAATATCCTAGGATTCCCAGGTACAAATAAGTGCCTCTGAGACCTGTTAGTCTAAATTCAGACACAACACAGCAAATGATAGTCAAAACCAAAAGATAATACAGGAAGTGGAAAGAAACACAAGGGATACTACTAGCAGCTTCTGAAGCAAGGAAGAGGAGACAATACAGCACATTCTGGCAATTACACTTATGGAATATTAGAAGTGTCTGACAGGCAGATAGGAACAGCAGTTTCCTCAGAAAACTATAGCGAGAGACTAGTATATGTCAACACTGCACAGAATTTCTCACCCATATTGGTTCTGTATTTCATCGAATGTTTTGCACGTATATTGTGAAAGGCTTTTAATCCATGATAGGTACATAAAATATTATCAAACCAACTGGCTTTCATGTGAGTATATTTAAAGTTATGTGGGGGGTTTAACCAGCTTTTCCTCAGCAGAAAACTTATGGTCTCTCTCAGAAACTCTGTATTATTGTTGTAAGCTCCTCTGGAACTCAGTGTACATCTATGCAGCAGCATTATTTCGGAATAACTGACATTATTCCGAAATAACAAAGAATGTGTCTACACTGCAAGCCATTATTTTGAAATAACGGCAAGCTGGAGGACTTCTTACTTCGACTCCTGTAACTCTCATTTCACAAGGAGTAAGGGAAGTTGAAGGAAAAGTGTTCTTCCTTTGACTTCCTACTGTGTAGGCAGCGCCAAAGGCTGAATTCAGCTATTTCGACTTAAGCTACACAATTGACGTAGCTGAAGTTGTGTAGCTTAATTCGACTTTTGCCCTGCTGTGTAGACATGCCTTTAGTGTGGTTGGGATGGGGGCATCTCCATTTACATCTAAATTACTAGAGGAAATAAATATGATGTATTGTCTGCTCCGTCTTGTTACTGGTGCATAAATTTTAACCATGTAGTAGAAGTAGTAATACGCTGTATTCACATAGTGCCTTCCGTCCAATGATCTCAATATGCTCTACAAAGTTAATGAATTTTCAGCTTTGTAGCCTATCTAGAGCTTGAGAGACAGGCCAGTGTTACCTTACATGGTATATGTAGGGATGCTAAGGTACAGATGGTTGAACAGCTTGTCCAAATATATGTAGCAAATCAGTAGCACAGCCAAGAGTGGACCTATGAATTCCTGTCCTGTGGACACCAGACCATTCTTCTATTCAAAGTAGTACAAAAGGTTGTCACTATAGCCTAGTGATTATGGAGATTCAGTAGTCACTGGGAAAGGCTGTCTTTTCTCTTTTCAGTTCAATATAAATTCCAGAACATCTGCATATCAATTAAGTGCTTATTATAATGAGTCATGATTAGTTGCCCTGACTGTAGGGCTTTAAGGCTATTGACACTCAGATGATTGTATATTCTAGCCTGGCCACTAGGTTGTCAAGGAGATGCAGGAGCCTGGGATGTGTCCAGGCACTTTAAGGACCTGCAACAACAGACTCCTGTGGAACAGTTTTGAGTCTGGGCTGAGGCTGCATGGAGACACTGGAAGCACGAGACACTAGTTTCCTATTTCTCTTTTGATTTGATAATCAGTACAGATGGAGGCCAGATTTTCTCTTAATGATACATCCAGGAACTTTCTGTGCCAGCTTCGCCCTCTGTGAGAACCAGTCTGAAGGGGGTGGTATGGCTGCTACATTCACTCAGAGTTTGTGCTGTGGGAGAAGCTATAAAAAAGGGTGTGGTTCCATTGGCGATCACTGACAAGCACTGCTACAGAGATGCACAGAATCTTGAATCCACTCTGCCCATGTTGCCTCCATAGCCAACGCCTCTTAGTCCTGGGCTGCACTGTCTCCTTGAAGGCCCCTAGGTGGAGGGAGTATTGAGGCTGAATTGCACAGTGGAATCTCTCCTTGGCAGGCAAAGTGATACTAGGGTCCCTGGCAGTATCTATACCTACCTCTTCCTGTGTGTGCCCTGAGGCAAATCAGTCCTGTGTTTTATATTCATAGTTAAATGCATATTTGAGCCATAGAGAGGTATTCAGACAATTCAGCAGTTAAATAAAAGCCCATTTTCTGCTGTCTCTGTTCTGAACATGAAGCACAGCACTTATGTATAATGTTGTTGGGCATTCTGAGTCATCTTCACAGCATATCATATAATTCATGCTGGTTGCCCATGTTCACATGCATTATATTTTGATCACAGGTCCGCAAATCTCTGCCCCTTAACCTTCTTCAGAAAATGGATCTTGGTTTGATTAAAATGGTAGTGACCAGTATTACCAATGGAAGCATAGTGGTAGATTTTGATTTACTGATTGCTAAAGACTTGGATACCTACAACATTTCCACAGCTTTTCAGGATACCTTTAAAAACAGCTCCCACTTTGCCGTTGACAAGAACAGTCTCTCCATACAGGGTAAGGTGCAGTTTTATATCACTGTAATTTTTCAAAACTAGTAACATGATAAAACCTGTATTTTTGTTCGTGATTTTGAGAATATAGTGTTTGTGAAAGTGCTGGATGAAAACCATTATATTTTCCTTTAAACCACTGCCAAGTCATCCCATCAGTCCTTTCAGAGAACTTCAAATGATATAACGAGATGTGTGATATAATAGGGCTCAAATGTAGATCCTCAGTTTGGTATAACCAGTGCCACCATACAGTTTCCTTCTTCTTACAGATCATGTATAAAGAAGATAAATATGACTGTTCCATTGACTGACTGAAGTAGAATTCTTTTTATACTGCTCCTCAAATTGATGTGTATCTGTATAAAATCATTTCTAATCCTTCTGCTGACAACTCATCAACAAGTTTTGTATCTAGCCCTCAACATGCTTATCAAAAAGAATATTTATGCTAACCTCTCAATTACAATTGCAGGCAGGACAGTATAGAAAACTTTGCTAAAATAGACTTATATAATCTGCAGCTTTCTGTTGTCACACTTACAAGGGATGGGACGCATGATTGGAATGTTGGTATGGAAGGGTACGGCTTGCTCAGGAAGGACAGACAGGGAAAAAAGGGAGGAGGGGTTGCCTTGTATATTAAAAATGTACACACTTGGACTGAAGTGGAGATGAATGTAGGAGATAGCTGTGTAGAGAGTCTCTGGGTTAAGCCAAAAGGGGTAAAAAATGAGGGTGATATCATGCTAGGAGTCTACTACAGGCCACCTAGCCAGGTGGAAGAGGTGGATGAGGCCTTTTTTAAACAATTAACAAAACTATCCAAAGCCCAAGATTTGGTGGTGATGGGAGACTTCAACTATCCAGACATATGTTGGGAAACTAACACAGCGAGGCACAGGCTATCCAATAAGTTTCTGGACTGCATTGGAGACAACTTTCTGTTTCAGAAGGTTGAAAAAGCTACCAGAGGAGAAGCTGTTCTGGATTTGGTTTTAACAAATAGGGAGGAACTAGTTGAGAACTTGAAAGTGGAAGACAGTATAGGGGACAGTGATCACGAAATAATAGAGTTCATGATCTTAAGGAAAGGTAGAAGGGAGACCAGCACAATTGAGGTAATGGATTTCAGGAAGGCAGATTTTGATAAGCTCAGAGAACTTGTAGGTAAGGTCCCATGGGAAGCAAGACTGAAGGGAAAAACAACTGAGGAGAGTTGGAAGTATTTCAAAGGGACGTTGTTAAGGGCCCAAAAGCAAACAATTCCGCTGTGTAGGAAAGATAGAAAATATGGCAAAAGACCAGCTTGGCTTAACAAGGAGATCTTGCACGATCTCAAAATAAAAAAGGAGTCATATAAAAAATGGAAACTAGGACAACTAACAAAGGATGAATATAGGCAAGCAACACGGGAATGCAGGGGCAAGATTAGAAAGGCAAAGGCACAAAATGAGATCAAACTAGCTACAGGCATAAAGGGAAACAAGAAGACCTTTTATAAATACATTAAAAGCAAGAGGAAGACCAAGGACAGGGTAGGCCCACTGCTTAGCGAGGAGGGAGAAGCAGTAACAGGGAACTTGGAAATGGCGGAGATGCTCAATGACTTCTTTGTTTCGGTCTTCACCGAGAAGTCTGGAGGTGTGCCTAACGTAGTGAATACAAGCAGAGAGAGGGTAAGTTTAGAAGATAGGATACACAAAGAACAAGTTAAAAATCACTTAGGAAAGTTAGATGTCAGCAAGTCACCAGGTCCTGATGAAATGCATCCCAGGATACTCAAGGAGCTGATAGAGGAGGTATCTGAGCCTTTAGCTATGATCTTTGAAAAATCATGGCAGACAGGGGAGATTCCAGAAGACTGGAAAAGGGCAAATATTGTGCCCATCTATAAAAAGGGGAATAAGAACAACCCAGGAAACTACAGACCGGTCAGTTTAACGTCTGTCCCAGGGAAGATAATGGAGCAGGTAATTAAGGAAATCATATGCAAACACTTGGAAGGTAATAAAGTGATAGGGAATAGCCAGCATGGGTTTGTGAAGAACAAGTCATGCCAAACTAATCTGATAGCTTTCTTTGATAAGATAACGAGCCTTGTGGATAAGGGAGAAGCGGTGGATGTCATATACCTAGACTTTAGTAAGGCATTTGATACGGTCTCGCATGATATTCTTATTGATAAACTAGGCAAATATAACTTAGATAGGGCCACGATAAGGTGGGTGCATAATTGGCTGGATAACCGTAGTCAGAGAGTTGTTGTTAACGGTTCTAAATCCTGCTGGAAAGGGATAACAAGTGGAGTTCCTCAAGGGTCTGTTTTGGGACCCATACTGTTCAACATCTTCATCAATGATGTAGATATTGGGATAGAGAGTACGCTTATTAAGTTTGCAGATGATACCAAACTGGGTGGGGTTGCAACTTCTTTGGAGGATAGGGACATAATTCAAAATGACCTTAGCAAGTTAGAGAAATGGTCAGAGGTAAACAGGATGAGGTTTAATAAAGAGAAATGCAAAGTGCTCCACTTAGGAAGGAACAATCAGTTCCATACATACAAGATGGGAAGCGACTGTCTAGGAAGGAGCATGGCAGAAAGGGATCTAGGGGTCATAGTGGACCACAAGTTGAATATGAGTCAACAGTGTGATGCTGTTGCAAAAAAAGCAAATATGATTCTAGGTTGTATCAACAGGTGTGTTGTAAGCAAAACTCGTGAAGTCATTCTGCCGCTCTACTCTGCACTAGTTAGGCCTCAGCTGGAGTACTGTGTCCAGTTCTGGGCGCCACATTTCAAGAAAGATGTGGAGAAATTGGAAAGGGTACAGAGAAGAGCAACAAGAATGATTAAAGGTTTAGAGAACATGACCTATGAAGCCAGGCTTCATGAACTGGGCTTGTTTAGTTTGGAAAAAAGAAGATTAAGGGGGGACATGATAGCGGTTTTCAAATATCTAAAAGGGTGTCACAAGGAGGAAGGAGAAAATTTGTTCCTCTTGGTTTCTGAGGACAGGACAAGGAGTAATGGGCTTAAAGTGCAGCAGGGGAGGTTTAGATTGGACATTAGGAAAAAATTCCTAACTGTCAGGGTGGTCAAATATTGGAATAAATTGCCAAGGGAGGTGGTGGAATCTCCCTCTCTGGAGATATTTAAGAACAGGTTAGATAGACATCTGTCAGGGATGGTGTAGACAGAGCTTGATCCTGTGGCTATCAGTTTTGTCAGGCATTCTGTATCCTTTATAAAGCTGTTCTGCATAGTGTTAATCAAGTTACAGTTTTCTGAGAGCCAGCTTCTACCAGCCTTACTCACATTTCAGTAGGACTACTCGACGAGTAAAGTGAGTAGAAGTGGCAAAATCTGCTCCAAAGAAATTTGAAAAAATCGATTTGTTATTATTTGCCCCCATCTTTTATTTGGTTAGAATAAATGAATCACAGTTTTCTGTAACTTTCTTTGCTCCTTCCCAAAGATATCCTTCTCCAACTCTGATTCTTAGTGAGATACATCTGCCTATATACTCTTAGTAATGGTCTTCCGTTAGTCCACACTTCTGAGACTCTCAGCTGCATTTCAGTTTGTGTGCTATTGTCTGCAGTAGATGTCCCTTAATGTCTCTTCTCTGAAAGCAGCAACTGCTAGTCCAGAAAAGCTGAGTGCAGGTTGGATATTTCTAGATTTGTTAGGCTTTTTCATGCCCAGTTTTAGCTGTGCACACTCATTTTAAAGCTCCTGCGTGAAAAAATAAATTACACGTTCTCTTGTGCAGAGCCTGATTTACATCCGGCATAGAAACCCATGCTGTTGGCCACATGGTGGAGCTTTTTCTCCACCTTCACCACAACCAGTAACATGTGACTCCTTAATAATAAAAGGATGCCTATATCATGTTACTACCTCAATGCTATGTATGCCCCCTGAAACTGGCATTAGTATTGAGGAGTTTCAAGACAGAGTTAACATGAGTCATAGATAGTGGTGTGGTTAATATGTGAGTTAGTGAGGGTAATAAATGGGAAATTTGACCCCTCTTCCCTCCCCATTGCTTCTGTTTATACACGATCCTGATTAGCACCCATACAGAACTTGAAATTTGTAACATATATTTTTGTCCCTGAAATCCCCAATTTTGGCCAAAGAATGGGACACCAAATCTGATTAACCTTTTTTGCCTGTTTTTCAACCAGCTCTGAATGTTCTGTAAATTATCAACCATTCTCTTCCCTTTTAAGAGTGGTGAGTCAGTAGGGTGACAGGCATCAGTTTTGGGGGATGAGAGAATGAATTAACTGGGTGTGTGGAGAAGAAGAGATGAGAGGGATCTGCACTCCCATTATCAATTGCCAGCAGTGCCACTGGAGGTCTAGCTAACTCTGACCTTCTAGGCAGTGTGTATTCTTGCTCTGCTAAGCATCAGATTGGACTGTGTGTGTTACTGTATCCCAGATAGGCAACATGCATGATGGCACCATGATGAACAAGCAGCCCAGGGATACCACGATGGCAGTTCCAGTTAAGGAATAATCCCCGTGACAGTAATGTTCTCTCTCTCTGTCTCTCTCGCTTTCTAAAACAAACCGTGACAGATTATGATGAGTGTGAAAGAGAAGATGATGACTGTTCCCTGGATGCATCATGCCACAACACATATGGCAGCTATGACTGCATCTGTAAAGAAGGATTTGCCGATGTCGATTCAGAGAGGCGTGGGAGAAACTGTGAAGGCAATATTATTTTTCATTACCTAGAGATTTCTTTGAGATTATAATGGTGTAATCTTCATAAAATCATGTGGTTACATTCACTTCTGGTGGAACTCTGGTGCAGTCCAGGAGGTATAACAGGGATGACTTTGACTCAATGGAGTCAACCGCATGCTACTGAAACTAATGTATGCTTGAGTGTATTTTGCATACTTCTATTATATTTAATTACAATTAATATATTTTTGCTTTATAGTAAAAGTTTACTGTATGAACATTGAAAGGGCCCAGTTCATTCTTTCATTTTTTTTCTTTTAACAAAGATTTCTGTTTTCTCATTGCCCCCCCTTACAAGGCAAACAGAGTTGTTGAGAGTGCCAGTCATTTTCTTTCACGAGCAGTATAGATAGAACATCAGAGATACAAGATAAGAGACTTAATCAGAGTGAAAGCAGTGTGTTATGAGTTTAGTTGGATTAATACTGATGTTATAACTCATTGATTTGTCTTTTGTTAACGCAACCAGTGTTTCTCAACCTTTTTTTGCCCATGGCCCCTTTCTGAGCCTCGTTTACCTCTGTGGCCCCTCTCATAGCCACTGTTAGTTGGAAAAAAAGATACATAATTTACTTAATGTTCCGCTTTTTCCATATGGCCCCCTAGAGGGAGGGAATGGCCCCTGGGGAGCCATAAGGCCCATGGTTGAGAACCACTGAACGCAACCAACACATCACCTTTCCTCAGATAATGTATTTGTTCACCTGAGATAGCACTTTCAGTTTCTCAGTTCTTTTAAACCACTTTTCTGAGGATTGTATTTGTTTTTGTAACCACAGTGATGAATGAATTGTGTGTACTCACTGTAGTCTTAAGTATTGTAAACAGGCACCTGCCTTTGTTAAGTTTCAGTAAATCAGGATATTTTCTTAGCACTGTTTTAATGAGCATTTGGAAAGGACATTTCTGAAATAGTTCCCAAATCCTTTTTTTTGCCATGAGATCAGAAAAATTTGGAACATTCCCAGAAGATATGAAGACAGTTTTCTAGAAAGGCAACTTTTTAAACATTTGTATTATGGAATACATGCTATTTGTGGTATAATTCAGTAAAACATTAGTACATAATTTAAAACAAAGACAAAATTAGTAGTTATGTGAATAAGTATGTTGGTGCCCTCGATGGTAAAAATGGATGAAGGCTAGGGTTATGAGTAGTGCTAAAGTATCATAGGATAATCTAACAGATAACTCAAAAACCTGTGCTAGAAAAGGGGCTGAGGGGAAGGAGTCTGGTTTTCAGTACCCAGATTAATATCTGCCTCCTTCCATTTCCTTTTCTTTCCTCTCTTCCCCTCTTGAATAAGAAAACTTCTGATGAAATACATTTGTTAACCTCCTCACAAATATTCCCTATAAACATGTGTAGAAAGTATAGTAGAACCTCAGCGCTATGAATATCTCAAGAATTGAGATTGTTTGTAACTTTGAACAAAACACTGTGGTGGTTCTTTCAAAAGTTTACTCTCTTAATATTGACTTAAGACAGCTTTGAAACTTTACTATGAAGAAGAAAAAATCCTTTATTTTTAGTAGTTTGTTTAACACTGCACTATGCTGTATTTCCTTTTCTGGGGCTTTGTTGATTGTATGCTTCTAGTTCCAAATGAGGTGTATGGTTGACTGGTCAGTTCATGACTCTGGTGTTCATGACTCTGGTGTTCAAAACTGAGATTCAACTTTACTTACCTTCAGTAAATCTGTTGTGCTGCAGCACAACAAGAACCAGATTCTCCAAAAAACTCAGGTCAGGGTTAGATTTTCAAGTACCCAGTGTATACAGTTGGAGCCACATTTTCCAAAGGGTTCAGCTCAAATTTAGGGGCAAAAATAGGGGCTATATTTTTAAAAGTGCACTGCATCCAGTAGCTCTCATTGCGACATGGTGAGTGGCAAAATATGGCTACTAATCATAGAATCATAGAATACTAGGACTGGAAGGGACCTCGAGAGGTCATTGAGTCCAGTCCCCTGCCCTGGACCAAATACTGTCTAGACCATCCCTGGTCTAGCAGAGCAGGACCAAATACTGTCTAGACTATCCCTGATAGACATTTTAAGGCCTACATTTTAAGGCCTAAATGAGAGGTGAGCTCTTTTGAAAATCTGGCCCCCAAGAGACATGAGGAACACATACATATTGTGATTGTATAAATTATTGTAGCCACAGAGAAATGGAATCTTTGATCTTTTCTTGGTGGTGTCTTTCTTTTTAAGTAAGAAAAAAGTGACAGTGCATTTTGAAGTACCAGTTAAGGAAGAAGAGCATCTGTTTTTCTATCAGTGTCTGAAAGTCTCCTGATCGGGGTTTTTTTTTTTTTTTTTTTAATTTGAGCCTTCTTAAGAAATCAAGTTGAATCTGTAATTTACAATCTTTTTTATTTTTGTTACTCTATAGCATTTCCTCTTAGCCATGGTCCTGCAACTGCACAGGACAAAAGTGCAAGCAGAACTGGTTTGCCTGTGATACATTCAGATACTCCAGCCCATGTGTTTTCATCTTCTTCCGCAGATTTATCTATTGCTAAAACCAAAGCTGTGGAGGATGCTACGTTTCCTAGTACGACAATGCCACATGCCTTCATGGAGTCGGTGTCAAATGCCCATAGCTCACCACAAGTCACTACCTTGTCACTCAGTAAAATTGCCAGTGGGATTTCCATAAAGGATGCAGTCAGAGTGTTTTGTGAGACTGAGAAGAAA